CCAGTTACTTTTCTTATGGTTTGTAGGAGGTGATGTCAAGCTTTTATAAGAACGTGATTGCCATCTACTGGCTGGAAGAAAAAACTACAACTCTATCATCATGTTTCAGTTGCCTTCTTTATATTTTTGATAGTCACCATTGAATAATTTGTTGAAATAATAATAATAATAATAAATATTTGTTTGTACCTTCTGCACTTTGTGTAGTCGATGACAAGATGGTAATTACATTGTACACATCCTCCTCCAAATATTCACATATGCTCTGCCTCTATCCCAATACAATATAGTATTATATAGTATTTTAGCATAATTAGAAAGGTGACTGACCTGAAATAAACAAGCTGTTTTAATGAAGAATAACTGATGGAAGCTGTGTCAACATTTAATGCTATAAAACTTAATTCTGTTCCCGAACATTACTTTAAGTTATTTTTTTTGTAAGCAAATATATAAACAACAAGCATCAGCCTCGTGATGTAAAACAAAAATTTAAGTTGGTATTTGAAGACAATGGTCAGGTCCTGATGTGAAGCAGCAAGCAGGTCCAAAGTTCAGTGGCAGCTACAGCAAAGGCCCGATCTCAGGTATATGCAGAAGCATCTGGTCAGACGACCTCAGTGATATTTTGGGAGAGTGTGTAGTTAAAAGATCAAGAAGGTTGAGATGATGATGTAATCGATGACTCAGAAACAATAAATAGTCATAAAAAAATTTAAATCACCTCTTAAACACATCAAAAAAGCCAAAGCAATGGGACTATGGTCTTATGTGGTGACTGGCAAAAAATACCCCAAAACAAGCTGTTTTTGGCCGATGCCAAAATAAAGCCTATTTTAGTAGTCAACCCTGGATAAAATAAAAACATGAAATGCTTTCTCAAAGCCAGCAAAAAAGAGAAAGGGCTTAGCATTTGTAAGGAACCTCAGTTTGAAGAAACTAGCTCTGATTTGTTTATCAACAGCTTTATTAACAGCTTTTATTTGTTTATCAAACTTGAAGCTTTCACCTTTAGAGGAGGAGTGAGGGTCAGGAGGCCCGAATACTTCCACTTGTGTTTTTTGCTCATTTAGGTTTCAAAATGATTATTTATTTTTTTTGAGAGGGAGATAGATCAGTGAGTCATCAGCATAACAGTGAAATGAAATTCCATATTCTTTGAAAATTGATCTTAATGAGAGAATATAAAGGGAATTAAGTCATCCTAGAAATGACCCTTCCAGGACCCTATGTGTCAGTGGAGGAGGTGACGATGAAAACCACCCAACGTTATGGAAAGATTTCTCCTCAAACTACAAAAAGGTCATATTGCCACCCACTACATGGGACAAGGAGTGCTGTATCAAAGCTTTACCTCTTATAACATGATTTGCTGCTGCTGTGGTCAAGTTTTAAGAATAAAAAAATAAATAAAAAGAAAATCTCGTGAAAAATTAAGTTTACAATAAGCAAGCTGTTAAAATAAAAAAAAAACGGCCATAAAACGAGCTGCTCTAATCCCTCAACATGTTTGTGCTCTCTGCTCGTATTACCTTCCTATTAAATCATTTTTTGGATTTTTTTTTTTTTTTGCCCGTCCGGTTTGGATCTTTAGCCATCAGAATTGTTTTCTGAAGGCCAAGAAAGATGGCAAGCGGATTTACTTTACCAAGTGGATCATTGTGGCCTTGCCATATTGGTCCATTTGATTGACCTTTATTATAATTATGTATTTATTTGATTTGATTTTAGGTTGTTACAGACGGGACAGACATGACTGGGGGATAGGACAGGGAGAAAGAATGAAAGAAAGAGAGGGAGAGGAAGAAAAAAGAAAAACAAACAAAACATCTTGATCACCTGTATGGAGATAAAAAAAAAAAAAACAGAAGAGAAAAAAAACAAAAAAGAGCAACATAATAAATACAACGCCATCACAATAAACTAGGTAACAGTAGATAACAGTAGATACTAAATATTAAATGTTATTGTGCAGCAAGCAAGATCAAGGGCATGAAGCAGGTACGGAGGAGATCCAGGCCCCAGACATCCAGAGGCCCCAGAGTACGAGGACCCAAGGAGGACCACCAAAGGGGCA